GGCCACATCAAGGCCTTGAATGGTGATGTTGTTGTGGGAGGGGATTAGAGAAACAAATGTGACGAGCTCTGAATGCCAGGAAAAGGGATGATGCTGGTCCTGTGGGAAACAGGAGTCTTCAGCAGGTACTAGAGGAAGACACAGGGCTGGAAAGGTGTGAGGGAAGCACTGGGACATGGGACATCCCTCTGGGGGTCAGTGAAGAGTGACAGTGAGTTCACCTCCAGAAGTGATTGAGCTGGACCTGGACGGTGTCCCTCATCAGCTGGTTAAGGTAGAGCAAGCAAGCTAAACCCTAGGAACCTTGGTCTCTTCAGGTGACATACAGACTACTTAGGAAGAATAAATAGGTACCATAAACAGAGCCAAGTCTTTTTCCTGGCAGTCCCCAAACATCAGTTCCCTTCTGGCCCCTGAACACCACAGGCACTGCCTGTCCTGTGATTTCCCCAACGACCCTTCCTCCTGATCTCTACAGTGGCGTCATTCTGGGCTCATTTCAAAACTCTCTTGCCAGGCAAGCGTTCCGCCTCCTGTCCCCATTCCTTCAGGTGTTTTCTAGGCCATTAACTGTTCCCATCGCTAACTCAACCCCCTAGAGCAGCATCTAACACACAGAAGGTCAACAAATATTTGTTGAATGAACGGTTGAATGGATGAATGAGTCACTTACCCAGCTCTGGGAGGGGCATAAACTTGGTTCTGAGACAACTTTTAGTTTGCCTGGGATCTTGAAGGTCATATGGTTTAATCCTTTTATTTTTTATTTTTTTTTTTTAGATAGAGAGAGAGAGAGAGAGAGATCACAAGTAGGCAGAGAGGCAGGTAGAGAGAGGAGGAAGCAGGCTCACCGCTGAGCAGAGAGCCTGATGCGGGGCTCGATCCCAGGACCCTGAGATCATGACCTGAGCCGAAGGCAGAGGCTCAACCCACTGAGCCATCCAGGCGCCCCTGGTTTAATCCTTTTAAATACAGAGGATCCCCTCTATAGTCTTAGGTACCAAGCATATGCTCATGCAGCTTCCCTACTAAATGGGCCAGCCTACACTTGACCGTCCACAACAAGAGGGAGCTTATTAGTTCCCAAGGTTGCCTTTCTCATCTTCGAACCTTTCACTTATGTGGAAAGAAGGAAAAATACGTTTGAATAGAACCAGGAGTCTGCTAATACTAGACCAAGCTGTAAACCATGAGGCTTACCCACCCCACTCTTGCCATATAGGACTGAGTCGCCTTAACTTTCTAGGACCTGGAGCCCCTCTGCCCCCAAAGATGGAGAAATGGGCTTCTTGGTGCTTGGGCTGAGAGACCTGCCAGTCCCCCAACTGGGGAACATAGCACCTGGCTCCTGACAACGTTAAGAACATGGTGAAACATTCCATTTCAGTAATGTGATGACCTCATACTTAATAGAGCAATCATCAGCCTGTGAGGGCGTGTTGCTAATCTGCCTGGGGCCATAGCCTGGGACCTAATAGCTAATTAACTGGAAAATCCTTCCAGAAGGCAGGTCTTTCTACACAGATAGACTTGAGCATCTTTCTGAGCCCTAAATTGGGGTCTCCTGACACACTGTTACTGGGCTGGAGCTGACCCTATACTTATACTTGAGGTCTTTGGTGGGGGCATCCCCTGCCAAGTATTTTTATGACTTTATCTCTCGTACTGACTCAGAACATCAGTGACCTTGAATGCCAACAATCCAATCTAGTCCCACCATCCTTACCACCAGGTGCCCATGTAACCAAGAGTCCACACCCCTGTTGGGCTCCCACCCTATTGGCATCTTTTGTATATTCCCTTGGGGATCTGACAGTGTGTCTTTTTCCTCCACAAGATCAGAAATTCCTTGAGGGCAGGGAGGGATGGAGCCCTACTCATGTCGCATCTGAGGATTCCCTCCCTGTCTGTATTCCCAAGGCAGGTTGGACACATAAGAACTTTGCAATTGATGACGTGGATGGAACTAGAGGGTATTATGCTGAGCGAAATAAGTCAATCAGAGAAAGACAACTATCATATGATCTCCCTGATGTGAGGAAGTTGAGAGGCAACGTGGGGGGGTTGGGGAGTAGGAAAGGAATAAATGATACAAGATGGGATCGGGAGGGATACAAACCATCAGAGACTCAATCTCACAAAACAAACTGAGGGTTGCTGGAGGGAGGAGGGATGTGGAGAGTGTGGTGGGGTTATGGACACTGGGGAGGGTATGTGCTATGGTGAGTGCTGTGAAGTGTGTAAACCTGGTGATTCACAGACCTGTACCCCTGGGGCTAATAATACATTATATGTTAATTAAAAAAAAAAACTTTGCAATTGTCATAAATTTTGCTAAACTGAGCAGCATTTGCAATTCATGAGAGAACATTTCCCAGGTTGACCTATTCAATGCTCCCATACCTGTGCAGGACAGCTGTAATCCAGTGGTTCTCAGGGGTACTTTTGCTCCCTAGGGCACAATGATGACGCCTGGGACATCTTGGTGGTCATGACTTGGCAGAAGTCAGTGTTACAGTCATCAGGTAAGTAGGGGCCAGATGCTATTGAATATCCAATAGTGCACAGCACAGCTCCCCCCTCCACTCCCAGTCCCCCACCTTTTGCCACTTACACACACAGCATAGAATGGTCTGGCCAGAATGTCCATAGGGCCAAGGTAGAAAACCCACTGGGAAACTGGAAACAGAGGTCTAAAGTTGAGGTCACTTGCAGACACTTTTACCTAGGCGCTTGGCTGACCTGGCTTCATCCCTGCTCTTGATGATAGTGACCTAGGCTCCCACCTCTGCACCCGACGGCTTAAGCCACAGGTCAGCTCCTATGCAGCAGAGTTGGTGGTTTTAGGAACATATTCTCAATCTCCCTCTGTTTCCTGGCAGCTACCCCGCAAAGTGAGAAGGAGATAAAGAAACAGCAAAGCCAGGGGAAGTTAGGGGCACTCCCACACCCCGCCCTTCACCCCCCATCACAGAATTACCCAGCAGAAACAGGCAGAACCGATATTCCAGTCCTGGCCACCAGGGGCTCCAAATCCTGCGCTTCTCTGCAGCAGCTTCTCCTGTTCATGGACTGTGTTCTCTGATGGAGACCCTTCTGTGGTCCCCCATTTATCTGTCATCTGCCTCTGCCATCAGACTTGGAGCTTCCCCGAACCCTAAAGCCTGTGCCAAGCTACAAGTCCCTCCTGCACCTCTCAAACTGGCTTGTTTCAGGCCAGGTCTCATCTAATGGTACCTTCACTGACAGGCCTTCCCCCGACCACTGGCCACTTGTGGGAAGTAGCCCCCTCCCACACCTCTTTTACTCCTCCGTGTGAATCGGGGTGGGGGGTGAAACTCCACTTTGGCTTAACTTCTGCCCCTCTGTTCTTCCCCATCGGAATCTTTCTCAACACTTCCTTTCTGCCTTCCTGGGCTGCCTATCCAGAGAGTGGGTATTTTCACAAGTTGCCTAAGGAAGCACTATCTAGTACAGAGTTCAAGTTTAGAAGTGGCCCTGATGTTTTCAATAGATTTGACAAGTGCACTGAATGAGGTTTCTAAATGACTATCCCTGGGAGGCCATGTTGACACTGCTGGGTGGGAGCAGTGCGTCATCAGTCCTGGACACTGATCCTGGCTCTGTGATGGGGCCGGGAATGTGATTCTGGGAAAGTCATTGGACACTCTGTTCCATCATCTTTTTGAAGTGGGGGGCCAACCAGGGCTCTTGGAGGGCCGTCCCAGCCCCAGACGGTAATTCACTGGCAGTCCTACCACCAACAGCCCTTAGTCCCCATGTGCCTGAGCTTTCCCACACACCATGGAAAGACACATATACTGTGAACGGGGACACACATATTATGAATAGGGAGCTATATACTATTATTTTCTAAATGTTGCACCCATCAGAAAGTTGAAATAGTACAAGGCACATATGCCCTTCACCTGGATTCAGCAAATGTCAGCATTTTGCCACATTTGCTTTCTGCCTCTCCCATTGTCTTATTTATTTATTTTTCTTTAGACTTTACTTTTTATTTATTTGACAGAGAGAGTACAAGCAGGGGGAGTGACAGGGAGAGGGAGAAGCAGGCTCCCGCTGAGCAAGGAGCCTGATGTGGGACTCAATCCTAGGACTCTGGGATCATGACCTAGGCTGAAGGCAGACGCTTAATGACTGAGCCACCCAGGGACCCTCGTCTTTTTCTTGATTTATATTTATTTACATATTATAGTTCTTTTTCTTTTAGTGAACCATTTGAAATTTGCAGACATCATGACATCTGACTTCCAGATACATCAGCATGTATCTCCTTAAAAACCAGTGCATCTTCCCACACAACCGCAGCATCATTGTCGCGGCCCAGAAAGTTAACAGTGACACAATACTATCTCCAGTGCAGTATCTGTGTGAATACCCCTCACCTCCATCCCAAGAATGCTCTTTCTAGGTCTTTCCCCTCAATCCAGGAGCCAGCCAAGCATCCCACACGGCACCCAGTTACCACGTTTTCTTAGTCATTTTTAATCTAGAACCCGCGGGGAGACTGACTACATTTCATATCCTTTCTAGTTTCTTCTGGTTGTAGCACAGCAGAGAGGTTGCCTGTCTTGCCCCAGAAGGCTGATGGGCAGCTTCTTTCTGTAGTGGGTTTGATGCCTACTATTTCATACCTCTGCCAATTAAACCCTGTCTGTGGCAGAGCCCGGGCAGAAGCTCTGCTCCAGAGGCCGCTTCACAGGGACAAAAAAAGCAATAATAACCAGGATGCTGAGAAAAGACACGCTGTAGGCCTGAGCGCCAGCCTCCTTGGATACAGTGAGCTCTGGGGATGTGTGAGAGCAGCTTCTCAGCCTCCCCTGCCTTTTAATGAGAGAAGAAGGCCCCAGCTTCTGAGAGCCTGAGCACGGCCCAGGCATTTAGAATCAAGTTGCACACATTCCCAAGCACTTTGTAAATAAATAAATAAATAAATAAATAATAAATAATAATGCCATGGTCTTCCCTGTCCTTAAAGAGAGAAGCCTACTCAGAGTGGTTACTAAAAACAGGAACCTGCTCTTCTGCAAGTCCCGCACGCCTTCCTCATTTCTAGCAGAGGAAGTGTGTGGCTGGTGTAGCAACTGCTGTTCTTCTTGATAGCCTGGCTTTCTCTGTACCCGCAGAGGCCCGGCCACCTGCTCACTGTGCTGGAGCAGCAGCAGCTGATGGAGAGACGGTGACGGCGTTCCCGGCGGGTCCTCCGTAGCTACTCCCAGGGGAGATCATGCCCAGCTTTTGAAGGTATCACAGGGGACATGGTAGGGGCCGGGCGGGGAGGAACCTCCGACTCCTAGACCCACAACTGGCAGAGCATTGACTTTCTGAGGACAGGAAAGCACTCTGTGAGAACAGTCAGGGCCACGTCTCGAGGGAGGCTGACACCTGACCCAGAGCCCAGCACATGGCAGCTGTCCGGTGAATATTTGATGCAGAATTACATATGGCAAGACAGGCTGGGGATCTTGGGGGCAGGGCCACTCCTGCCAGAGGAGATTTTCTAGCTACAGAGCAATAGTCTGGCACATAGCAGGCTTCATACTAAGGGCAGCTCCTGCTTGCTCTCAGTGTTCCTAGCTATATGACCTTGGGCAAGACATCTAAACCTCTCCAGGCCTTCATTTTCTCCTCTGTAAGGTGGAAAGAGAAGTACCCAGCTCAATAGGTATTGGGCAGATGAGATGAGCTAACATATGCAAAGTACCCAGGCCAATTTCAGACACATAGTAGGTATTCAATAAACACTATCAGCAGGGAGTCCTGATACCCAAAATGCGCACAGAGCCCAGGTAGGCTGACCGATCGCAGGAGTGCTTCTGGGAGTTTGGGTGGTGGATCTTTGGGAAGACGCCGATGCTAACCAACAGTGATGAGCAACAAGCAGAGAAGGAGGTATGTGTACGGTAGCGGGGGGAGGGTTAAAGGAAAGGCAAATAGGTGAAAACATAGGAGATTAGAGATGATTTTGGAGAGCTGGAATTCCCTCAGGAATACGGCATACTCCGCTTACTTCGAGGTGCCAACACATCCAGAGAGCTTAATGCCAGGAAAATGACCTGGGCTTTGGCCTCAGAATGTCCTAAATTGGGGCCATGTGTGTAGGTGCAAAGGGTTGGTGACGAGTGGCCATGCTGAGTGGCGGGGGAGGGTCACTGCGTGGTAAGTTATTTTCCTGCAGTCCTCAGAACAATCCCGCAAGTTTATGCTTACTACGTGCTTTTGACGAATGAGAAAATGAGGCTCAGAGAGGGTGAGTCATTTGTGTAAGTCATACAGCTGGTGAGAGGCTCTAAGGGCTCCGAGGGCTGAGGTGGGGGAGGGGAGAGTCTCCGATACAGCAAGTACATGAAGGACAAAAGTGTGTACCAAACCAGTGCTCTTTATTTCAAGAGAAATATATCCCCATAGTCTGCAAATTCTGTAATTTGCTCTGAGACGCTGAGCCATCAACCTATAAGCTGGGCTATGGTCCTTTTAAAACTGGCGAAGTAAACCCAAATCAAAGTTCCAGCAACATCCTTTGCAAATGATTTTATCCAGCTAGAAGAATGGTATTCAAGAGTGTTAAATGTGTCCTGAAAAGTATAATCATAATATTAAAAACCTATGAAATAGATCAAAATCCATTTAGACTTCTGTGTCGGAAACAGATCTTAGAGTCAGGGCGGCAAGGCGGTCTCATGGAAAGTCAATGATGTCATTAGCTGTACCTGCGCCAACATTCTGGGTCAGCCCCCAAGGAGCTGTGTGACTCTGAACATGCCCCTTTGCCTCTCTGAGTCTTAGTTTCCTTTGCATAGGAAGACCTTGTACGTTTGTAGGAAGTTTAGACTATATGTCATATATAGGAGATGGTAAGCATTAAGCAGCAGCTAGTGATAGCATTCCTGACCCAGACAAGGAGAGGACATCCGCTTCCTCAGGCGGCCCCAGGTGACAGTCCGGTAACAGACAGCATTACATACCACGAATCAAATCGCACAGCTACAGAGCAGGACGCTCCTTGATTTTTCTTAATGCTTATTTCGCTAGTTTCTCCGTATGATGCAGCTGTAACAGATACGGCTCCCCCGTCTTGAGTTTGGGACCTGGCATTGTCTTACCAAGGCGACGGTCTCTTTTTTAAGACTTAGTAAGTCTCCATTGTGGTAAACCCTAACCAGCTTCGTGCATTCATAAAGGGTATTGCTTTTTGTTGTTGTTGTTGTTTTTCAGTTTTCGTTGCACATTCAGCAAGAATTTATTTCCCCCAGATCTGACAGAGGCTAGAGCTAAAAATTCTCATTAAGCCTTTCCAGCATGTCAGGCCAGACTATTTTGTTCTTGTCAGCAAGCTGAGTGGGGCCCTGTGAGTACAGCTATCCATTCCTCCATCCCTCCCTTCCCCTAATAAATATGCATTGAGGCCATACCGTGTGACCGACTTCCTCCCTCTCAGCTCCCCAGGCGTTCCGAAGGAAATAAGTACCCTGGGTCCAGACCACTTCCTCCCATCTGAGAACCACCAAGGGAGGGGGCTTATTTCATTAGGGTAACTGAGCTACAGACAGAAACCCTAGGGCCTCGAAGGTTCAGTGGCTCCCTTTTGTTGTCATACAGCTTTGCAAAGTCATACTTTCCTCCATGGCACTGGCCAGGCAGCAGGGACCGTGGCTGCAGGCCTTGCGGTGTGGCAGGTGGGGCCCGGGGAACAGCATCAGGAGACAGGGGCAAAAGTACAGTCCAGCCGCGCTGCGCTGTTCCAGGCACTTTAAAGACGATACCTTCAGGACCTCAACTGAATGAAATGAATGCTTACTATGTGCCAGCCACCAGCTAGGTAACATGGTTTTGTTGTTGTTGTTGTTGTTTTTCATTGAGGAATATACTAGACAGGGACCATGTTTTCAGGAAGTTTACAGCTGGGGTGGGGTTGGGTAAGACACACTTAAAGAGAAACAAATGCCTTATGGTGTGTGCCATGAAGGGAACAAACAGGGCCCAGGACAGAGAGCAGGGGTTTGCTAGTGAAGCTCGTGCAATGTAATTCTCTCGTTATCCTGGGCAGTAGCCAGGCCCTTCCCAATATGCAGACTTGCCAGTTTCTCCACTCCTTCCCTTCCCCCAGCCATGGCCTCCAAGTCACAGGGACAATCACTTGTTCCTTACACCCTCTGATTGCAAACTCCCAGCATCTGGAGTGTCAGACTCACTTCTTGATCTAGGCTCTATCAATACACCTCAGGGTCCATCTGCGGAATGCCCATTACGTACCTCTCTAGCACGCCAAAAAGAGAGTAACGCCATAATCTTCTCATAAGAAAGGATGGATTCAGCTTTGTACAATCCTTCATCCATTCCCTGATGCTTAGGAGCACATAGTTAAGAGCCTTGCTCTGGAGCCAGATGCCTGGATTTAAATCCTGCCTCCACCTCTTACCAACTGGGTGACCTCCAACAGGTTTCAGAAATGCCCTGGCTTTGGTTTCCCCAGTTATACAAAAGGCATAATGATAACAATGCGTCCTACATAGATTCGTGGTGAGAGTCAAATGGAGAGTACTGCTGAAACACTTCTGCAACACACAGTAAGCTCCTGTCTTTCTTCTGTTGCCATATACTCGGCCCTGTGGGGAGCTGGCATGGATCTGTGATGAACACAGGGAGCCCTCCATCTGGTCTACCTGTTATTTGCAGGGGAGCAAACTAACACCCAAAGAATGAAAGTGGCTTGCCCCAAGTCTCTGAGAGGTTAGTCAGGCCCACTGTGGGTTCTAAAGATGCAATGTGTGAGAAGTAAAAATTAAGAAAAATTAAGGACCGGAAAGGGGTTAACTCTCCCTCATCCCAGGGCTGGAGTCACCCATTCAAATGATCTAATGACTCGAAGTTGACAGCTTACCCTCAGTGCCTACAGGCTCAGAGCAGAGGGGCAGGGGTGTGAGGGGAGAGCCGGACAGCTGGCTCTTTGGCTGGCCACTATCCGTGAGCAGCACTGGCTGACTTGAGCAGCAAGGGGACTTGAGGACCTGGGCAGGTAACATGCAGATTCCCAGGCCTGTGTGCTTCTCTGGCTTCCCCAGCAATGCTAACTCTCTGAGTGTGTGTTAAAAGATTAAAAATGTTATTGTTCTAGGATGAGGGTGGTGGAAGGAATCAGAGTTGGCAGTCAGAAGAATCAGGGTTTGAAAGCTGGCACCACCACCGAATGAACTGTGTGACCCTGAGCAAGTGATTCAACCTCTCTGAGACTCTATTTCCTGTACAAAATGGTAGGCTCTTTGGGGCATCAGATGAGCCAGTGTAGTTCAAATACCTAACTGAGACCTTCCATGTAGGGGATGCTTCTAGCGATACAACGGGGATGTCTTCAGGCACCTGTTCCAAATAAGGACAATTGTCAGAAGAAAGTCTCTTCATGCCACAGGGGCCTGGAACCAGGGGCATACTGGCTTGTGAGGGCCCGTTGCACCCATCTCTTAACTCCGCATTTGGTGAGGTCACATTGCAAACTTGAGATCAGCCACAGTGGGAATATTTACACCATGGAAGTAATGAAACCCAACCAAGTAGAGCCCCCCTCCCACCCCCCCATCACTGTTACAATTTACTAGGTCACCACTCACCCACTCTCTCTCTCCAGTGCACATTGTTTTTCCACTTTCCACCTATCCCATTTTGTTTCCCTCTTGGAATAGCTTCTTTGTTCCAGCCATGAGTAAAACCAGATCTGACCACTGTCTTTACTTACAGCCTTTCCTTGAACAATCACACAAGTAACTGTTACAATTATAATTTACTTAAAAGGCAATGCAAGGTTCCCGGGGAGGTGGAAAAAAGAAAAAAAAAAAAAAAAAGAGTATCTCAGAGTTCACCCCCCCCATAGCACATGCAAACATCCTGGGGTCTTTGTAGGAAGACTGGTGCCCCAGTCCCACTAGGGGAACCGTCTGAGCACCCCGGGGTAAGACCCTCAAGTCTGTGCTGTGATGAGTGATCCCCAGCGAGGGGCAGGGACACTGGAGTAGGTGGCTTAGCATATGCAAATGAGGTTATTAACAAGCTATCAATTTCCATCTCGCGTGATAAGGTTATGAGCCACAGAGTTGATTCATGTTTGTGAATAAAAAGCCCAACTAAGTCTTGCTGTGAAATGTGATATAGGAAACAAGTCACTAACTTTACGTCCCTGGGCCCACGTATCCAGGTGACCTCTCATGTCTACACGCAAATCTGCCTCAACCCCCTACTTCTGATGAAACCTG